GTTGAGACATTTTGGCTTTTCGGAAAAATGGATAACATTGATGATGAGGTGTATTACTTCGGTATGATATAAAGTCCTATTAAATGGACAGCCAAAGGGACAAATAACTCCAAGCAGAGGATTACGTCAAGGGGATCCTCTATCATCATATTTATTTTTACTATGTACGGAGGTCCTAATATCGAATATACGGAAAGCAGAGGAGGAAAAATTATTGACGGGACTAAAGATCGCAAAGGCAAGCCCACCGATTTCACATTTACTTTTTGTGGATGATAGTTTATTCTTCTGTAAAGCAACTAAGGAAGAGATTCAGAAGATTCTATCTATACTGAGACAGTATGAAAGGGTCTCAGGCCAACAAATTAATTTCGACAAATCATCTCTCTTATTTGGCCATACGGTGCCTGAGGATGTACAAACTGAGTTGAAACAACTATTAGGAATTTCTAGGATTGGAGGAACTGGATCCTACTTGGGTACCCCAGAAAGTCTAGACGGGGCCAAGAGTAGGATTTTTGATTTTGTAGCGGATAGACAACATGATCGGATTAATAGTTGGACATCGCACTTATTATCAAAAGGGGGGAAAGAAGTCTTAATTAAGTCAGTGGCATCGGCAATGCCTACTTTTGTTATGTCATGCTTTCGTTTACCCAAATCTACAACGGCGAAATTGACAAGTGCAGCGGCAAGATATTGGTGGTCCTCTGATGGTCACAATAGAGGAATGCACTGGATATCATAGAATCAAATGTGTAGAGGCAAGACAGAAGGAGGAATTGGATTCCGAAAGGGGGAGGATTTTAACACAGCACTATTGGCAAAATAATTATGGTGGTTGATAGATAGACCAAATTCTTTGTTTGCACGAGTTTTCAAGGGAAGATACTTCCGGAGTTCTTCTCCTTTGGAACCTATTCGATCTTACTCGCCATCCTATGGCTGGCGGAGTATAATCTTGGCTAAATCTCTGGTTAATAAAGGGCTAATCAAAATAGTTGGTTCAGGCTGTTCTATCTCGATATGGAATGACCTTTGGATACCAGCTTCTCGCCCGAGATCAGCCACTTGTAAGGGTTTTAATTATTACCCGAATCTCATGGTAAATCATCTGATTGATCCAATGACAAATACATGGAATATGGGCTTGATAAATGCAATTATTGAACCGGCGGATGTGGAAATTATTTGAGGAATTCCAATATTAGGTCCTACAGACCAGATTTACTAGGCTGGCATTTTACCAAGTCTGGTAGATATACGGTAAAATCGGGATATCACATTGAGCAAAAATTAAGGATGGCCCGCAAGATGATTTTTACGGGCCAAATATTAAAGCATTACAAGCTTATACATGGAAATTATAGTGTGCACCGAAGATACAACACTTTATTTTGCAGGCTATATCTGGATGTTTATCAGTGTCGGCTAGATTACGGACACGTAGGATATAATATGACACACAATGTGCACGATGCAGAGCAGAGGAAGAAACTATTAACTATGTTCTATTTGAATGCCCACCTGCCCTACAAACTTGGGCATTCTCAGATACCAACACCTTCGGGTGTCTTTCCAATGACTTCGGTTTTCTCAAATTTTGACCATTTGTTTTGGAGATTGCAAAAGGATGTAAATAATACACAATTTCCATGGATTGCGTGGTATATATGGTAGGCAAGAAATGAGAATATTTACTCGAATATCGATGTGGATCCAAGGATTACACTGAAAATAACAGAAAATGAGGCTATATTAATGACGGATGCTCAAGGGACTGACCAAGATCTAGAGACACAAGACAATATGAATATTCCGGTGTCACTACCCAGTACATAACCGGAATATTCGGTTAGCTACCTGGTTTGGTCCAGTGGTGAGCAAAGGTCTGCCAGGATCGAAAACGTCTGTGGAGCAACAATCCTATTAGATACTAGATACAATGCTAATCTGAAAGAGAAGAAGAGAGGTGAGTAATTTGGATTACCCATTGAGATGAACCTTAGGAAATTCATTATCAAATATATTATAATATAGAGATTAAGAATAGTCTAATCCTAAAACAAGCTAAAGCAGGACTCATTCCTAGATTTCTAGACATTAAGACACAAGAAAGCAATCATCCGGTTTACTAAGTCCATTTTATCCGTCAATTCACCTTTTTTCATCATCATGCTCAAGATATGGCAAAACCCTTCATGCTCAAGGCATGACATAACTCTCTGTTAATTCTTCTCATTATGCTCAAGGCATGACAAACCCTATGCATCTTTTAAGTTGTTCAACAAACACTTTAATTCCCAAACAAGAGCAAAGCTCTACAGAAGATGAGATCCAGTCCTGCCTTCCTTCTTGGATAAGGGGAGCTTGGCCTGCCATCCGTGATATGCTGAGTTTGACATATCACCACTTATGGTCACACAGACATGTGGTTCGCCACAACCACCTAGCGATGAGCTCTGCTGGTCCAATAGGCACAAGACAGCTGCCCAACAAGGAATCTCGAACTACAGGACCACCTGTGTCAAGTTTCTATAACTCGATCTACTCAACAATTCAATAGAATTTCCTAACAAGCAATCTACAACGTTTTAAGATTTCAGACCAATCACCACACAACTTATCAATCATTTAATTCATTATTTTAGCACTTTTAATTGATCTCTAGCAACCTAGCTCATCATCAGGCAATATCCAGCAATCATTGACATCATCAACAAGAACCATCATCAACAACAAGCAATCAATCACGCAGACACAGTAGCTATGGTTTAAGAAAAGACTAATCAATCACCCTAGATCATAATATGCAGGATTTGGAAAAAAAACAACCCTCACCTTGGCCTTTCTAAATGGAGATACCATCCACATTTATTCATCTTCGAGCAGATTTGACATTCAACACGAAAATGATAACTCTCGGCTCAGATCTCTGATCTACACAAACTTGGTCTTCACGGAAAACTGAGACTCAGGAATTCAATCTGATGGGTAGATCGTCGCGTGGATCCTCACGGTTCGCCAGATAATCGTTAGTTGACGGTACAGAAGAAAGAGAAAAAGAGAGGAGGGAAGAGCAGATACAAGGCAATGAGAAAGGAGGAGGATCAGGATCACGCCATGGAAGAGGAGAGGAGGATGCTGGGCGGATTGGAGAAGAAGGAAAAGAAAAGGTGGTTTGGAATAAAAGAGAGAAAGACAAAAATTAGAATTTTCTGGGATTAGAAGTTTATATAAGAGTGTTTAGTACTGATTTTCTGGGATTAGAAGTTTAGGAATTAAAAAACCAATTGGAAAAGGAAATTAACCAATTCTCAATTGGCTAGGTTATTACATTGATTTGAAACACAAGACGTAAAATTTTCCGCGAGCGATGCTGAAGGGACACGTAGTTTCAACTTACGAGTCCCATTCGTGTTGATTTTGGGCCTAGAAAAACGATAATAGGCTTAAGTTTTTACTTTTGTTCAGTTGTGGAAGATACTTATATTCCAATGGGCATTTTTGCCTTCTTTTCTATATGCAGACACATCTTTGGGATAATGTTTCCCAAAACTATTGATGATTAGTTGGATGGTTAAGATATAATTAGTTCCTGTCAACGTAACAATATTAGGCATCAAGAGAATCTGCATGAAGCATAAATTTTTTTAGATTAGCAGACTTGCATGAAAGTTAACACATCGGTCTATTTCATATCCAAATTTGATCGAGTTCCATATATCAGTTGAGAGTTCTTTAATGAATGCCAAAATTTTGATGTTTATGCATAATATTAGATCTCCCATTCTCTTTTCGCAGTCCAAATATCCGATTTTCTCCAAATAAACATAAAACATGTAAAGAAACTAAAAAAAAAAAACAAAAATTAAAAGCTTACTCTTTTTTTTTTCATTAAAAGCTTACTCAATAAAATACTCAAACGAAAAATTCAAAAACCGGTAAAAAGATAGCAGGATGAATCTTTACTTAAGACGTTAGTTGCTGTATGTTAAGAACTTTTTCTTCTTTTATCATATAAATAGAGCTCTTGATCAAGAACTCTCAAAATAATAGAACAACTTTTCTTCTCAATAGACATAAAACTGAGAAAATTATAATGAATGTCAAAAAACATTGGCAATTTTTTTATTTGTTTAAGAAAATTATAGTGAACATGCTTTATAAAAAAACAATTTTTTTATAAAATTTGAGCATTTAACCATTTATCCTTTTATCATAACAACTAACATAGATAACTTGAATTTTTTTTTGTAAAAAGAACTTCTTCTGGTCTAAATTTTTTTATGTTCGAATCTTGGTAAATGTGTTATATATATATAGACCATGTTTTTTAGTTTAGTTTAGGCTCTAAATTACTTAGAATCGGACCGGTAAAATCACCATAATTTATATTTTATTGATTTTTTAATTTTATTTATATGAAGTAATGTATATATTCTATCCCTAATAATTAAAGTTTTTTTGTTTAGTATGTGCCACCAAATTATTTTTAAATCAATATTCTGTTTAAATGAGTTCATTCGAAATATTTTTGTTTCTTTTGTATGTACAATTTTTTCAAACCAATATTTTATTTGGATCAGTTTATTCGAAATATCCTGCTGATTTATTTTAATTCCCCGCTTTATGTCTATTTACATAAAAAGGTAGATATTGAAGAAGAAAAAAAGACAGATATCTAGTATTATTTGTTTCTTTTGCTGCTTTTGTTGTCAATAACAAAATTATAAAGGTGTAGAATTGAAGAAAAGCGCATGAAATGAAAGGATGAGTCTCATACGTCCAGCCGCAAAACAATGGCCTACTCATTTGGCATGTACCTCTAGAGAGGTGAGATATTTTCGTTAAGTCACTTTAATTTATATAGGCATATTATCTGTTTTTTTGTTTTGTTTCACACACTTTTTTAGCTTTACTCTAAGCATTTTCTTCATTTGATTCTTAATCCTTATATGCTAGATTTTTTTTTTTTTGGGCAACAACTTATATATAAATCACTCAACAGAAAATTTAGAGGAGTACAAAGCGTTTTTAGCTAACACATCAGCGGTTACATTAAACCGACGAGGAAAAAACTTAAAAGAGATAGATTCGAAGAGCTTGGAGAGGCAGGATATGTCTTTCAAAATCCCGTAGATTTCAGATATTGTAGTGCCAGAGTTAATGGCCTTGATGAGAATTAGGAAGTCGGAGAAAACCGATAAATTCCTTATATCTTCAGCAGCAGCTATGGAGAGAGCAGAACGCATCGCCATCCCTTCTGCTATTAATGGGGATGGGATGCAACCAGAGACCCTGGAAAATAAGCGGGGAGCGGATGCGGTTGGGGAAGAGAGAGTCCATCCAAGTCCAGCTCTCTTCAAATCTTTGCACCAGGCCGCATCTACGTGGCATTTGACACCCATAATTGGGTCGGGGGGAGGTATAGACACTAAAGGGGGGGGAAGCCTTGGGTTTACTCATCTGTCCCTTAAGCCATTCAGAGGCATCTGAAATGGATTTGTTCAGAGTTTCCACTTTAGAAAACGATTTGTCGCTGAAGATGTTATTGTTGCAGGTCTTCCACAGATTCCAGCATATTCAAGGGGCCAGTAAACCTTTAGGGAGGTCCAGAGACGGGGAACAAGTAGCATCCTTTACTCCCTTCCAGAGAAGGTCAAATTGTTGGTCATGGGGGATGGTGATAGGTGGGGAGAAGGGTGCATTGTGCCATACTGCTCTGGCGAACTCACAATGGAAGAGGAGGTGTTCAGTAGATTCCGGTTGACCACAGCGGTGACAAGAGGGGTCAGCCTCCGAGATCCGGGAGGCAAGTTGTGTTCCTACTGGGAGGGCTCCCCGAGCCGCCCTCCAAAGAAACGTTTTGAGCTTAGGTGCAGTGGGTGTGGACCATATGTTGGGATCCATAGCAATGTCCCAGGAGGAGTGGTTTGATGGCCATTCTCCATGGCTGCAATATACCCAGATTTGGTCGTGTAGGTCCATGATCGATCTCCCAGCCAGATCATTTTATCCTCAGCATCGAAAAGACTCGGCTTGAGAGAGTAGATTAAGTCTTCAACATGAGGAAGGACCTCCTTAATGGTTTCACTTTTCCAGGATTTAGACACCGAGTCAATTAGATCAGCGACACAGAGGTCCATATGCTTTTCCAGACATGGGCCACCAGGGGAGAGGGGGCAAGAAGTGGAGAGCCACTGATCTCTCCAAATGTTAATACGTTTACCATTTCCAAGTGCCCAGCCTAGGTTCTTTCTAAGCAAATCTCTACCAATAAGCAAACTTCTCCACCCATGGGAGGCAGATGCATGACATTTGACAAGGACTTACAGTATTTACCGATGAGGATTCGAGCAAGCAGACTAGAAGGGTTTTTAAGGATGCGCCAACTTTGTTTGGCAAGAATGGCGTCGTTGAAACAGGAGACGTCTCTGAAGCCAAGCCCCCCATCGCGCTTGTTCTGGGTAAGCTTTTCCCAGGAAATCCAGCACATCTTCCTCTCATCCGATTTCCCATCCCACCAAAATCTAGTAAGCGCCGATTGGATCCTCTTGCACAGTGAGTTGGGGAGCTTAAAACAACTCATTGCATAGATGGGCATCGAAGAGAGCACACTCTTAAGGAGGACCAATTTGCCAGCATGCGATAAGAACCGAGAAGACCAACTGAGTGCCTTTTGGTGAATTTTGTCAACAATGCTAGTAAAAAGATCTTTTTTTGCGTCGCCCAAAGTGCTCAGGGAGCCCCAGGTACTTTCCAACGCCCCCTTCCTTCTGGATTTTCAGAGCGTTCTTAACTCTGGATCGAGTTTCAATAGGGGTTTTACAAGAGAAAGTAACAGAGGACTTATCAAGGTTTATAGATTGGCCAGATACTTGCTCGTATTTTTTCAGGATGGTCGAGACGGTGGCTGTATTGTCGTCGCTAGTGTTGCAGAAGAAGACCGTGTCGTCTGCGAAAAGCAGGTGGTTGATGCGGGGAGAGCCCCTAGCTGCACGGATGCCACGAAAAGACCCATCAGCTTGGGCTTTCCGGCATAGACCCGACAGGACTTCGCTGCACAGTATAAACAAATACGGAGAGGGGGTCACCCTGTCAGATTCCCCTCGAGGGCTTGACGAAACCACGGGGACCCTCATTAAGCAGGAAGGAGTAGGTCACTGTGCAGACACAACTCATAATCCATCCAATCCACTTCTGGTGAAAGCCGAGACGGGTGAGAACTGCCTTGATGAAGTCCCACTCGAGTCGATTGTATGCTTTGGACATATCCGTTTTCACGGCCATGGAACAGAATTTCTTGGCATTGGAGTTCTTCAAGTAGCGCAGCATCTCGTGCGTTATGAGCACATTATCAGCTATGGCCCGTCCGGCAACAAACGATGACTGGTTCTCGGAGATAAAGTCACCAAGGAGAGGTTGCAGACGCCGGGCCAGCAATTTTGATATGATTTTAAAGTAGACATAACACAGTGCGATGGGTCGATAGTCCGACATCCGTTTAGCCCCTTGTCTTTTAGGTATCAATCGAATGAAGGTTTCATTGCTTGAGGTCGGAAGAGTTCCAGAGGAGTAGAATTCCTGGATCTCAGAGACAACTTCCGGCCTTACCGTGTTCCAGTTTGAGTGGAAGAAGCTTGCGGAGAAGCCATCTGGCCCTGGGGCTTTATCCGCATGAATCGAAAAAACAGCGCATTTGATTTCCTCTGCCGACGGATCAGAAATTAGCAGCCCATTCGCTTCATCGGAGACTTTATGGTCGAGAGCTTCTTCCACAATGCTATTTCTATCGGCGGCCACTGACGAAAATAGTGAATTAAAGTACGAGACATCGACCTCGACAATTTTGTTTTCACCAAATTTGGGTACGCCGGCATCGTCCTCTATAACTGAGAAGCTGTTGATTGCCTTCCTGTTCTTGGTGATCGCTTGGAAATAGCCAGAGTTTCGGTCACCGAGGCTCAGCCAGAGGTTCCTGCTGCGTTGCCGCCAGAACTCCTCCTCCTCCTGATACGCTGTTATAAGCTTAAGATTCAGGTCGGCGATCAGCTGCCCATCGTTCACCGGAGCCGATATCGCCTTCTTAAGCTCGAACTTTACCGAGACGATAGTCTTTTGGCTATTTTGCTGATGGGTTTTATTCCAAGCAATTAGGGCCCATCTGCATTTGTTTAGATTATGGGCCACAGAGCAAGCAGGGCCTTGGGTTCAGGTGGATTTGATGAGGGAGCTAACTTCCTCATTGTGTCTGAATCTTCTATCATAACGGAAGATGTGATTCCTCTTCTTCCTTGTGATGTCGAAGTGGGAAATGATCGGCCGGTGATCGGAGCCTTCGAAGGGGAGATACTCGCTTCTTGATTCAGGGAAGATATCGATCCAGTCGCTATTCGCAAGTGCCCTATCCAGGCGACACCGGACAAGCTGGTCACGTCTTACCCCGCGCCAAAACAAGCAATCTCCCGAGAAATTGAGGTTATAGAGGTCACCTTTCGAGAGGAACGACCGGAAGTCAATAAAGGTACCTTCGGCTCGGATCGAGCCACCCTCTTTTTCTGAATTATCGACTATGTTATTAAAATCCCCGGTTAGAAACCATGGGGATGCTCGCAGCGAAGCAAAGGAGAGGAGAGAGTCTTACACCGCCTTTCTTTTTGATATCTCTGGGTCACCATACACCAGAGTGATATACACAATTTTGCCTTCATATAAGATCTTAGTGTCGATGAAATTGTAACATGACGAGATTATCTCTAACTCGAGTTCATTTTTCCAGAACAAGGCTAGACCACCTCCGCAAACATCATGAGGGGGAACCAGGTGATGATTACTATACTTGAGACTTTTTACTTTGTCGAGAACAACAGAGTCAGGATTCTTAGTCTCTGAGAGGAATAAGATATCCGGGAACAGTTTGCGCCAGATATTCCGAAGACGTTGGACTGTCAAGGGGTTCCCTAATCCTTGACAGTTCCAACTAGCCACTTTTAAGGAATTGGATTTGATGGTGGGTGAAAATCCACCGATCGGTTCTTAGACTTAGAGCTTGATCGAGGTGCAAAGAGGATCATCAGAGGTTTTGGAGCTCGGGAGCCAACTTCACCAAGCGGGTCTGTATCACTCGGGGCTCCAAATTCCTTTTGAGATTGTTCTCTCACTTCCCCGGGAAGAGGAGTCCACCTGCAGTTTCCGGCGTGGGGGTTGGTTTCTGCGCACCTTCCTTATTTTAGAGCTAGTTCCCACCACCGGAATGGGACTTCGGGGGGGGGGGGGGCTTACAAATTCCAGGGGGGCGGCCTGGCTTTCTCTTCGGGGGAATGGAGGGGGCAGAGGGGCCAGATTCCACACCACAAGACTCAAGAGCCTCTGGATTTACAGGACCCAGGTGAAGGGTTGCAGGGACCCTCTCATTCCGAGGAGGAGGAGAGGCAAGATTTCGGTCACGGGAGGCCAGGCTCGATTGGGCCATTTGGACAGCGATTTCCAAGACTTGCCCTGGTTCCTCAACTTGTCGGAAGCGCTCTTTGCGCGCAGCACACTCTGTCGGATCCGGGACATTAGAGTAGTTGATCATCACATCCCTCAGCTCCTCGATTGCAACATTGACAGCTGCTTGGAGAGGAGGGGGTGGGGGGGTTGTCGGATTGTCACCCTGAAGGATAAGGGATTTAGAAGGTCTGGAGGATTCCACTCATTCCCAAATCCCGGCAGCATCAGCAGCTAACTCCCTGAGACGTGCCCGCTCCGCCTTTCCAGGACGCATAGAAGACCCAGAGCAAACGGCAGGAAATGTGGAGGATCTCCAAGAGTCCAGACTGGCCTCAGAGCCCGACAATGTGGGGATTGCTCGGTGATGTCCTCGAGGTGTTAGGCTGGGTGGGTCATTTGAGGAGGGCCGACGTTTTTGGGTGGATGAGAGTGATCAAACCGCGGGTCATTCCAATCTCGGCAAGGATTATCACCCTCACGGTGGGGGTGGTTTCTCCGGATTCTCTCTATATACATTCTCGCATCCTTTGGGTCTAGTGAATGTTTTTCCAGATCCTTAGTGGCACTCGAAGTGGAAGAGGGGAACTCCATACATTCTTTATCTTCATGCGTGAGCATCATACACTTGGAACAATGTCTCTCCAACTTCTCATAGACTAGAGAGGCCAGCACTTCCTCACCGTCTGGGTACTCCACTATGGAGGTGGTGACAAGTGGTTTGAGCCCATTGATGTGAACCCTTACTCGGGCTGACAGAGAGGTTATCTCTACTTCTTTACAGAAACCCAGTGAGTCACCTAGGCTTTGGATAGTTTTGTGGGTCCAGAGGTGAACTGGGAACCTTTGAACCTGGATCCAGAAAGGAATGAGGGAGGGGAAGGACCTGGAGACCGTAGGCTCCCAGCGTTGGATAATGAGCATCCATTTGGCGTAATGGTACGGCCTGTTTTTGAGAATAAGTTGCACATCTTCCTCGTTATCAAATTGGAACTGAAAGTGTCCTTGACCTAGGTCAGCACCTATCGGTCGGACAGAGGTTTTCCAGCGATTAGTGAAAAAAGGCACGATAGACCACACCTTCTGATATTTGGGGTTCGTGATTCTGCCCACAAGCGTAAGAGAATGTTTCAACAGGAGGGCCGAGTTATCCGAATCTTTAACTTTGACTCGTATAGATCTTGGGTCTGGATTCGGGTTTTCCACCGTTTTTCCTTTTTCCTGGTACGTTAAACGCTGAGATTTTGAGGCTTTGCAGGTGAGGGTAGACCTCAGATGGAATGGAAGAGAAAACTTTACGAAGGTGAGTTGGGATAGACCCGGAGCTACAGGCAAAGGAAGGTCTTTAGAGAGTGTCTCCGAGGCATAGTTCCGACGGAGAAGAGGCGGACCCGCCGACAACGGTCGGGGGTGGAACCCGGGAAGGAGGAGATCAGAGTGGTATTGGTTTGAATAAGTTACTAAACCGGGTAAAAAACAAGGTAGTAAAAGGTCACAATCAGCCAAAACCAGACAGATTATTATGGATAAAATGATTTTTTTAATTTGGCACGACTCATTCAACCAACAAGATTTGGTTAGAATGGAGTAATATTTTTTATTTTTATTTTTTTGATGTTAGTGCAACATGGTTATTTTAAAGTTTAGTTGACACTTGACAATCATATTGCTCTTCTTAATATTGGAAAGTAATGGCTTTTGGAGATTATCTAAGGCCATTTGTGAGATTGCCTTCGAGTCAAAGAGAAGGAAACTTACAGTCTTTTTCACGTGGTAATTTGTTTTTTTTTTTTTTTGAAAAAAACGACGTAAATTTATGACCTACCAATTTCTGTCTGTCACTTTTAAGGATTAGGAAGAGCAAACCAATTTGTACTGTTAATAAGTGCTAATTTGTTTTTTTTTTCTTTATAATACCGTTTTAAAATCTTTTACCTTCAAATTAAAGTTTTTGTCTACATTATTTAAGTGTAGTTGTAGATATGCTATCCAGCAACTTTTGATAGAATTGTATAGAGCTATCAAAACCTAGAGAGGTGCATTGCATTGCATGAGTTTCTTTTGAGCTTCTATTAACCAATAATATTAATCTTATCAGTCCTAGGTTTAATGATTTATCTGGCTGTCATTCGAAAAACAAATATAAGGTTAAAAAATACATAAAATAACAACAATTACATCTCTCTCTCTCAACCGACCGATCCATTTGAAGAATACCAAGATCATATTGTGATAAGCGGCTAAGGCTTTGAGGAACAGCCTGTATAATGGCCGTACTATAAAAGAAGTTTTAAAATTTAATGTTTGTCTTTTTCGAATGTTATAACCAAATGTGATAACCTCTCCCGCAAATCAGATCAAATGACTCACAACAGCTCTATTATTTGATTATAGATAGAGAGTCGTCGCTATCAATCTATTTGTCTCCTGTCCCCACTTTTTTAGAAGAAATTCTTACCATGAATTATATAATTGGCAAGTTGCATGCATTTACCATACATGTGTTCTCGAGTTATTTACGTCTCTAAAATTATACCTATTGTAATATATTACTACATACGTCAATAACAACGCCAGTTTTACGAAGTATTAATAATTTAATACATAAAAGGGTGCTATGAACCTTGCAAGTTGTAACAACGATATTATAAGCGCATGAAAATTGCAGCACTGACAAATTTGTCTTAATTGGATCGGACATTCGGATCAACATATACTATATATTAATTTCAGTGTAGCTTTCTTTTATTTCTTTAAAATTTCAATGTACGTAGTTTTTCTCCGCCAATGTATATATATATATATATATATATATCTAAATTCTAAAGTAGCTCTAATAGTTTCATTATCGTGGGGTTGTCTAACTGACTAGCTAGCTGTATCCGATATGACCCAAAATATTAAAACAATCTTTCTTTTTGGATTTTTTGCAACTCGGACAGATACAACGTGATTATAGACAAAAGTGACCACATATATTTTTGTATTGTAAGATAAAAGAAAATGAAATTGGGTATTTAGCACGTTTTCTATAAACTTTTACTAGTTTTTGGTTTTTGGGTTATGATTGAATTATAGCGAAATCCACGTCATTTAAAACAGTAATCCATAGTAAAAGAGTATCAAATTTCTCAGTAATATAAAATCTACAACAATGGTTCTTAAAAGAATTCTAAATAATAAAATAATCAAAATAATAAAAGTATGAGAAAGAAATTAGGATGAGATTTTTATTGGCCATCTCCAACCATAGCACCAAATTTGATGTTGTGAATAGTGTAAAATTTGGTGTAAAAGTGAATAGTGTTTTTTTTTCATCTCCAACCACAAAACCAAATCTCACATATTATATTATTAAATTTAAAATTTTTTTTTAATAATTTTACCAAAGCTCTTGCTAAACATTCTTCCGAAAAAGTTGAAATTCGAAGACAGAAACTTGAGTCACGAAGAATGAACACAATAGCAGAAAATATTATTCACCGATTTGAGTTCTATAACCGATCCAGTGTGCCATGCGTATATTGAAAGTCAATGAGCAGAAATTCTGAGTAGAGGACCGCCATCAAACCAATATGGAGGGCACATAGAATGTTTTCGAAACCAATATAGTGAATCTCAATAAAGAGAATTTCAATATCAAGGAGATCCAACTCTGAAGGAGAAAAAATTCAAGGAAATCATATCCAAGGAGAACAAAATCAAAGAGAAGACCAAATATCACCAAGTGACCAACAAGATTATATCCGTACTATCATTATCTTAGCGGAAATGGTAATCCAAACTATTAGAATATTGTTTAAGTTATATTATGTCTTTAAAACTATCTTGTTGTATTTTGTTTTTTTTTTAATGTTTTTTGTTTTAATTCAGTAATTTAATGTTGAAATGTTTAATTGAACTTTATTATGTATTTTTAATTTTAATCTATTTACATATTAATAATGATATTTTGTGAAATTCTAAATTACAAAAATGGATCCTACACTCCTAAACCAACATAATTTAATTAACTAATAAATAATAATATAATTATATGAGTAAATAAAAAAAATATTTTAATATTTGGTGTTGTAACTAGTGTTGCACCGAATTTGGTGCAACACTATTTACAAAACATAAAAAAAATTTTGGTGTTAGATTTGGTGCATTATTGGAGAAGAATCAACATTAAATTTGGTATTTTGTGCATGGTTGAAAATGATCTAAGAAATTTAAAAACCGATTTTTAAATAAAGTTTAAAACCTCATGCCACTTGTCATTTTTATTGGTTTATTTTTAATTTTAAAATTAAAATTTATTTATATAATTATATTTTAAAATTAAAATTTATTTATATAATTATACTATATTAAAATATTAATATTTAATTATTTAGATACTAGAAATGGATTATATATAAACCAATAGAGATGGTCTTCGGCGGTTGCCTATACATAGCCCCTAGATGTTAGACATCTTACCGCCTAAGGCATAGCCTTCAGATTGTTTAGATTTGATTTAAGTTGGTATTATTAAGGGAATGATTATACTGTACTTGGTAGATGAGGCGGCAATTAGAGGGAATTTAACGGAGTAGACAGCTCCTAAACAATCTAGATGATATTTGCGTTTTACCCACCGAAACGATTTATGCGATCTAAGTGATTTTCACTAAATATATATAGGTTTTAACCAAACATTGATTATAAGTTGAAGGCTCGCAAAGTTGGTATTTTTGAAGATCATTAAATAGATCCAGGGCCGTGTTTAATGAACAAAAAATAAAGCATTTGTTTTAGGCCCCTTTTATATTTAAACAAGTTTTAGGACCTCCAATTTTTTGTAATTTTATTTAATATATTGGTCAATATGTATTTTTGGTGTTATTTTTTATGGTTGAAAATTTATTTCATAAATTAATAAAAAAGCATTAGTAATCTCTAGTATCTTATAAACAATGTTTAAATCTGATCTACAACTTATATATTCTTAGAAATAATTATATTAATATGAAAATTTTTTCTTTTGCTTTAGGCTCCTAACACTCTAAGTACAGCATTGAATAGATCAACAACAATGTTTATTGGCTATTCTTTCCTTTGGATATACACACAACCAATGTGTTCAACGTTAAGCATTCGGTGTCACATGATCTCAATGTAGTTATATAGATTATATACCCTGGCCTAAGCCGAAATGTTCCATCTCCTTTGCTTGTTGACCTTTTTGTTAAGTGTTCGGGCTTTCTCTTTATTTTGGTTCTGACTTGTTAGTTTTGAGTAGTCCAAGAATGTATCCTCCACATTATTTCGTTTCTATCCTACTAGATTAGATTAGACTTCTTTAGATTAGAGCTTATCAATTCAAGAGCTGTATAAGTAGTTGCGCTTATCATAAGGAAATAGATATTCTTCTCCTTGTTCCTTATTTTCACCACCCCTTTAAGATATCAACGAAGCCAAGAATCCATCTGGTTCGGGGATTCTCTTGGATCAACAAACCTTTTGTGTCCTTCCACTAAGTTGCTGCAATGCTTTTAGACAAATAATCCTCCATTCTAATCTACTATTTACACACTTTTTCTGTAATCAGGATGTTTCAGTCTATTTTTGGACCATTTAATTTGTATTATACAACATTGGCGGAAATGGTCTCGAGTTTGACTAAATCTGAAAATGTGATTTAGTTGCAAGTTTCCTTGCAAGCCACAACGCGTACATGTAAATATTATATATATATATATATATTAGTTTATACAAAATAGTTGAAAACTTTTGAATGATATTGCTTATATATGTATATGTAAAGGTTTAATTGACAAAATATCAAGTTTAACGTCATTGATCCAACTATAGCTTTACCTAATTAAATTACTCTTCGAAAAGGATTGCGTTTATAATCAATAAAATTTCTTAACGCAATACCGAACGGAAACAAAGGTCAAAATTGAGAAAGTGGGTCAGACGAAAAAAAAAAAAAAAGTCCAAAACCTTCATTGAGTTTCTATCTGACTATATGTATGGACTGCATGAAATGAGAAGTTGTGATCGATAAACGCGTGCAATTTTCTCTAAGTTTGCATTTTGAAATTATAAACTTCAAACAAAGCTTCGAATATTGATGAGAGCTTTCCCGAAAGATGCTAATATCCACTTATTAAATTATGCACGTTTTCTTTGTGTACCAATCGAATAAATTGCTTGATAACATTTGAGCTGCAATGGTCCGGTTCTATAAAATTTCGCATTCGCATTCACACCCACTATGCTTTAAACATTCTAAGCCTTTAAAAGAACAAGTAGCCTAAGCAGCAATGGCGAGCAATTTAGCCTGGTTTGGCCACCTACTATTAATGGTTTACGTATTATTCTCATTTTGGGATTATAACGATTAAACAAAGCTTTGAATTTTGATGAAGCAATCCCAAAAGATGCCAATATCAATCATGCCCCTTTCTTCGAGCATCTCGTTTCCGTGCACAACTTCTCATTATTTATTAATTAACCAGTCTCGTTGGAGTTTACCGTATAATTAGATCTACTTGTTTCATCACATCCACGACTCATTTTAAATAAGATCTATCTTATTAGTTATTGTAAACCAACAAAATGCAGTCAACCAAGTTTACATTTAGGTAATGAGACAGTATCGACACTAATTAATACAAACTAATAGAATACAATGATTATATTCATATTTTTATGTAATTTGTTTTCCTAAATTTATCATTGTTTTGTAATGGTTTGTACATATTCCATAAGGAAAACAAACCAAGATAAAAAAAAAAATACCTAGAAAATATATACAATTTCAAGTAGGCTAATTAAGCAGCAACGGCGAGGAGCCTAGTTGGCCACCACCTACTTTATTAGTTTTAAACGACTTTTTGTTTGTTTAAAAACGATATGAGCACACCGTCTTTTTAAATATTCCATGTCGTGATTTATCCACGGCTTGCACACCTTCTTTAACCGTACATGTCGCCGTCGTACTTCCTCTGTTCTCATCCCACATGTATAATTAATTTTTAAAATTCTTTCTTCACACAAATGTCAAAAACCAAATAATTAAACCTTTCTTCTTCCTCGTCTATATAACCGCCCATACGGTGAACCTCCTTGACGCACAGTCTTCTTCTTCTTCTTCCTCTTCTTCTACAATGGGTTTCCAGAGATCTCCATCTACTTCTTCTGCATTGAAATGGCTTGGATTTGTGACGGCGGTTTGGGTTCAAGCCATCTCCGGCAACAACTACACTTTCTCCAACTACTCCGGCGCTCTCAAGTCCCTCATGAATCTAAACCAGCTTCAGCTCAACAACCTCTCCGTCGCTAAAGACGTCGGAAAAGCCTTCGGAATCCTCGCTGGCCTCGCCTCTGACCGTCTTCCTACTCCAGTCATCCTCCTTATTGGCTGTTTCGAAGGTCTTCTCGGCTATGGTGTACAATGGCTCGTCGTTAGCAAAATCATCACCCCTCTCCCTTATTGGCAGGTACTAACAATAAAGTCTCTATCTTTTTGTCATCTACAACTCACAAATGCGAATTTCTGTATTCGAACTAATGGTAACATTAATGGTAACATTAGTACAAATTAACCACTAGTTCGAATAAATTTTACATTCCATTAAAAAAAAAACTTAGTATAAACCACTAGGCTACTAATTTGATTTGGATTGTTTTTCAAATTTGGAATTTTTATGGCAGAAATTTTGAGATTTTGTGTGTCTGGAATTTTTCAGATGTGTGTATTCCTCTGTATGGGAGGAAACAGCACGACGTGGATGAACACGGCGGTTCTGGTGACTTGCATACGAAATTTCCGGCGAAACCGTGGACCAGTCTCCGGGATCTTGAAAGGATACGTAGGCTTGAGCACTGCTATTTTCACCGATCTCTGCACTGCTCTGTTCTCAAACGATCCGGCGTCGTTTCTTGTTCTACTCGCCGTCGTGCCTTTCGCCGTATGTCTCACGGCGGTTTTCTTCCTCCGTGAGATTCCTCCGGCTTCTTCCGCCGCCGAGGAGAACGAAGAGACTAAATACTTCACCGTGTTCAACATCGTAGCTGTCGTAGTCGCTGTCTACCTTCAGTCTTACGACATCATCGGAATCAAAACCGGAGTTTTCTCCGTCGCTTTTGCTTCCATTCTTCTTTTCCTCTTGGCTTCTCCAATCGCCATACCTTTCCACTCATTCATCAGAAGCTTGAACCGCGGTGAACAAGACGTGGAAGGAGGACAGATTCAAGAACCGTTGCTTAGATCCGATATCGCGTCGGAGAAGGAGGTAATCTCTGTTGCGGCGGTAGCGGTGGCGGAAGAGGAGAATATTGTGGCGGAGAGGAAGAGACCGGTGTTGGGAGAAGACCACACGATAATGGAAGCGGTGTTGACCGTTGACTTTTGGGTTCTGTTTGTGTCGTTCTTGTGTGGTGTAGGAACTGGTTTAGCTGTGATGAACAATATGGGCCAGATCGGGCTTGCTCTTGGTTACACTGATGTTTCGATATTCGTCTCCATGACTAGTATCTGGGGATTCTTTGGTCGCATTCTCTCCGGTACTCTCTCCGAGCACTTTCTCAAGTAAGTTTCCTCCTATTTCTATTTTTTTTCCTTAACCATTAGCAATGGACAAAAATTAATATGAAATATCCGCATGTTAATAGTTAGAAACGACAACAAAAACATTTCTTAAAAAAAGGAAAAAAAATGAAACTGTAGAAAAATATGCAAAATCATCCGGAAAGGCCTGAATAAGGTTTAAGTTTAAATTTCCTGACTAAGTTATAAAGTGGGATTAGATAGATGGAAGAAACTATAATGGCATGTTAGGATTTCACATCGACGAAAGGACTTAGATTTTAAACCCTTTTTCCAATAAACACCTACCAAATTCATGAAACATTACAGGTTCTATGCAATAGTATACGTAACTCACTATTTTAAGCTTTATGTCTCGTTCTAGCATTAATTTTACAAAGTTATAACGTGACGTATATAATTTTTCAGCCACATACATATACACACAAAATTCAATGCTTTTTTGGGTTTGTCGGCAATTTTTTCCCCTCATTGACTTTTCACATAAAGAAAAAGGGATCTTCTAGATCTTAATGTATGATCCATTTTATAACTAGTCTTTTGTTCATGACTATAGACATGTCCTAATCCAATATCTTGCAACTTTTCCTTTATTTGGACCACACATTTTAATTCTTCATCACGTGAATATCCCCCTCTAGATTCTTTACAAACTTTTAACATTTTACTGATTTTTAAGCATGTTGATTTGATACTTTTACTAACCAAAATTTCTCTTTAATTCTACAGGAAAGCTGGAACACCAAGACCACTATGGAACGCAGCCTCTCAAATCCTCATGGCCGTAGGATATCTACTAATGGCTTTAGCTGTGCCCAATTCACTCTACATCGGTTCAATGGTGGTCGGGGTTTGTTATGGTGTCCGTCTAGCCATAACCGTACCCACAGCATCAGAACTCTTTGGTCTCAAATACTATGGTCTCATCTACAACATCTTAGTACTTAACTTGCCACTTGGCTCATTCCTCTTCTCTGGTCTCCTCGCCGGATTCCTCTACGATGCAGAGGCCACACCAACTCCCGGTGGAGGCAACACTTGCGTAGGAGCTCATTGTTACCGTCTCATCTTCTTGGTCATGGCTTTAGCTTCTGTTATTGGAGTTGGTTTAGATATTGTGTTGGCTTATAGGACTAAGGAGATTTATGCTAAAATTCATGCTAGCAAAAATGCCAAAAAATCTGGTGGTAACCTTAGCTAGTTAAGAATTGTTTAGATCTAGTTCTATCGCACTAGATTGTTCGTCACAATTTTATTTTTTTAGTTTGAGATGCTGAATTTTTTTATACATGATACGGTATCGGTTTCAAGCTATGAATTGTTGTAGAGTCACAGCTAGTGTAAACATTTCAAAGATTTTGTTCATAAATTTATATAAGTGAATGAGATTTTTGATATTACCATCTTTACAACTTCCTTTTGTACTTAACATAGTCTCAGAAAAGTTAGAAATGAAACAACAACAGATCTGAAAACCAAAAAGCTACGGCTTACACAGACATAGTAACAAACTCAGCCTAAGAGTTTATAACACAAATGTTTTAAGAAAGATGGTCTTAGATAAACATCTCTGTTAGTGGCCATTGAAAGTTTTCAGTATCTTATGAGAATGAATATGGTTATTTTCGAAGGAGATTGTAATACTTTGGTCCATTGTATGCTCAATAACACAGTACAAGTCTTCGAAGTAGAGAATTTGTGCAAAGGCATCAAGTGGTGGCCAAGTAAGTATCATTAGTGATATTTCACACATGTTTTACGGCATCAAATAAAGTAATCCATTTTTTAGCAAAACATTATCATTTGAACTATTGTTTGTAATCAAGTTGTTTATATCAACTTCGATGGTTAACTCATTCGATGCACAATGACTTTTTATAGTCACAATTTTTATAATACATTATATCTTAATCGAAAAAATGATAATCTAACATATTCTTGATATATCTAAATTCAAGTAGTTATTTCGGTTCGAGATTCCTAGTTATTTCCTTCGTTATCAAAAAAAATTCACATACTTGTTTTCGCTTAAAACAACACTTAAATGCTTATTAATTATGTTTATAAATGTAAATTTTTGTTTTCTTAAGTATTAACCGGTGGCAATTACTTTTAAACGCTAGAAAACGTAAAAAGTTTATCTGGTGACCGGTTTATGATTATAAGCTATCGACCTAGTGACCGGTTCGACCAGATGATCCACCCGATAGTCTATCCGGTGACCCGACAGGCTAACCGGTTCACCTTTAAATTATTTGTTGCTCAGTGAGTCGCCGCCGTGGTCCCGAGTCGAATTCGTGGTCTCCCCTCCGCGCGTCGACGTCGTGCCACCGTCTCTGCTTATCCCTCCATAGTCTAATCGCTTAACCCATTCGCCGGCTTCCATTGGCCTTACTTAAGGTAACATCTTTGTTCTGTTTTAGGAACTAGAATTAGAGCATGCTGTGTCTAGGATACTGGATTTAATGGAAACATTGGATTAATATTCTTCGAAAAACTTGCTTAGTTAGTTGTGACTTTGGTTTACTGTCGAAAGCTACAAAATTTGGGAATGGTGTTTGTTGCAGGTTTGTATCAGCTCACTTAAATTTGGGGACTTTTTTTTTTCTGGTCAGGGTTTAGGGTTTCATCTTCCACTTCCAGCCAATGCAAAGCTTGTAACTTTATATCCATGGCTGCTTCTGATCAACGCCGCTCTCGCCAGGAAGAAGGAAGCCCTTCAAAGCCCAACAAGAAGAAGAAGGCAAACAGAAACCCGGAGACGAATCTCCTCTTCAATCTCAATTCATGCTCCAAGTCCAAGGATCTCTCAGCTGCATTAGCCCTTTATGATGCAGCCCTCGTTTCCAACGATGTCAGCCTCAGCCAACAACATTTTCAGACCCTTCTTTACCTCTGCTCGGCTTCCATTAGTGACCCGTCTCTTCAAAGCCTTGCCATCGACCGTGGCTACCAGATATTTGACCGTATGGTTAGTTCAGGGATAAGTCCTAATGAGGCATCTGTCACTTCAGTGGCTCGGCTGGCTGCTGCTAAGGGTGATGGTGATTATGCTTTCAAGATTGTCAAGGACTTTGTTTCTGCTGGCGGCACATCGATTCCACGTCTGAGGACCTATGCACCGGCTTTGCTCTGTTTCTGCGAGAAGTTGGAGGCTGAAAAGGGTTATGAGGTGGAAGAACACATGGATGCTGCAGGTATTGAATTGGAGGAGGCTGAGATCTCGGCTTTGTTGAAGGTAAGTTGTGCCACGAGCCGGGAAGATAAGGTTTATAGATATTTACATAAATTAAGGGAAAGTGTTGGCTATGTCTGTGAAGAAACTTTGAAAGTTATTGAGGAATGGTTCTGTGGAGAGAAAGCTGGTGAGTTTGGTGATAATGGGATTGGTTCTGATGCTGGGATGCTTAGAGAAGCAATTTTGAAGAATGGAGGTGGGTGGCACGGGCATGGGTGGATTGGTGAAGGCAAATGGATTGTGAAGAAAGGTAATGTTAGCTCAACCGGAAGATGTTTGAGCTGCAGTGAGCAGTTGGCTTGTGTAGATACCAATGAGGTGGAAACACAGAAGTTTGTGGATTCTTTGGTGTCTTTGGCTATGGAGAGGAAGTCAAAGATGAACTCATGCGAGACAAAGGGGGACTTCAGCGAGTTTCAGGTTAGAGAAAGAATTGATGATTCCTGGTTTCTTGTAGCTTGCTTATAATAAGTCTGGCACATAAAATCTTGCATGAGATAAATATTTTGGCACACAAAGAAGGACTTCAGCGAGTTTATGTTTTGCTTAGTTAACTTTGATAAGAAATTTGAGAAAAGTATATTAGTGCAAAAGAGAGTTCAGTCTCTTCTTTTAATCGCTTTTAGCACAAATTGTAATCAATCGGGAAACATTGTCCGAGTTCTGTATAGTTCTGAATGTGAAAGTCATAGCTATATTACAGGCATTAATCGAAAAATTAAAAGTAAAAAGAGAAGAAAATGCTCATGTCTAGCTTTTGTGTTTTTAGATTTCATTGGACGTATTGTAGGTATCTCCTATTGTCCATGGTGAATTCTACTAAGTTTTATGCTTGAGACGGAGTTTCTTTTGAACATATACAACAAATATTTTTATATTTAGTGTTCAAATGTGAATCTTTGTTGAATGTTGTACAACTATTTGGCAGGACTGGCTTGAGAAACATGGAGGTTATGAAGCTATAGTAGATGGAGCAAATATTGGGCTGTACCAACAAAATTTTGCAGATGGTGGTTTCAGTCTTCCACAGGTTCTAATCTATCTTTACTTTTATATTCCCTTCATATTTACGAATCCACCCCTGCGATACTGACAACGAACGTGCGTGATAGAGCAGATTGAAGCTGTGGTGAAGGAACTTTACCATAAAAGTGGTAATAACAAATGGCCTCTAATTCTCTTGCACAAGAAGCGTGTCAAGACGCTTTTAGAAAACCTAACTCACCGGAATCTAGTTGAGGAATGGATCAATAACGGTGTCCTATATGCGACTCCACCAGGTTCCAATGACGATTGGTATGAACTTTAACTTCTTTTACAGTCCCATTACTTCGAAAAATAAATAGTGTTTGGTTACATTCATTTTGTCGTTTTTTATTTCAGGTATTGGCTCTATGCTGCTGCTAAGCTCAAGTGTTTGCTTGTGACAAATGATGAGATGAGAGATCACATTTTTGAACTCTTAGGGAACAGTTTCTTCCAAAAGTGGAAAGAAAGGCATCAGGTATAAAGTATAAACTTTTATAGTAAAAGTATGATCTTGAGAAATCTACAATTAGCTTCTTGTTTATGGTTTTGGTGCAGGTTCGATATACCTTTTCGAAAGGTAATCTGAAGCTTGAAATGCCGTCTTCTTTTTCGGTTGTCATTCAGGTTTACAATCTTGTTCCTATATGCGTTCTTTTTGTTTCCGGTTTTAAGAAATGGATTTTGATCTCGATTATCATTTTTTGACATATCAGGAATCAGAGAAAGGGTCATGGCACATTCCTGTTTCATGCCAAAACATTGAGGAGTCTTCAAGAACTTGGATATGTATCCGCAGAAAAAGTGTTTTAGATTCACCAAAGTTTAATGAAAAGCTTGCAACTTCTGGAAATGGGAAGATTCTTAGTAGCTGCAACAACAACAGCTTATTGAGTTCATGTGATGCAGGTAATGATCAGAATTGAGATTCTGGAATCACAATGGACCAGGCTCTTTGCTAGTTAGATCCATAGTTTAATTAATGTTGTGAGTTTTATATAATTTTTTTTTTCAAGGATGAATATTAACACAAAACATCATTGTTTATTTCACTTTCCATGTGACTATGTGAGGGATTGAATTTTTGGTCGAAATGTGAAACAAAAAAAACAAATCTTTTTTTGGTTGAATAACCGACTCGAAATCGAATTGTGAATCAAACTCGTAGTGGACCGGACAAGACCAGACCAGACCGGGTTGGTTAATCGAAATGACACACGAGGGTTTTCTATTCCCTTTTCATGGCTATATACTCTACTTTATTTGGCCACGTCAGCATCATTTCACAATTGCATCAACGAGCTATTATCCACCGTCCGATGCTTAAACCCAAATCGATCTAGACCGTTCATTAACGTCTCTTATCTCCTTCTTCCCCGTCGTAGTCGCAGGCTCGCAGCCGGTAAAGCGCATGAAAGGATCTTCAGGAACTTTTTTCCTTTCTCTCAAAATTATTCTCGCTTTCTCCTTCGCTCTCTCTCTCTAACCTGAGGTAAGGCTTTCGCCATTTCTCTTCTTCTTCTTCTCTCTTCTGTCTACTTTTCTTTTAGGTTTTATATTATTCAAGAACTTGTATTTGTATGTTTGGAGAACCTATCACCAAATTCACCTGTGTTTTAGCTGATTTTTTCACTTCCATTGAAATATAGTGTATAAGATTGAAAAGAGACGATGATTATAGGATTTGTCGCGATAACTCTGATCTAGGGTTTTTCTCTCTCCGTTTGTTAGTCTGTGGTTGTTGGAAATTATATTAAAAGTCAAGCGTATTTTGTTTGGTGGTTGCAGCGATTTTTCGATTTGGTTCTTTTGGTTTATGATTCTGGAGGTTTTGTTGTTGCGGCGGTGATCTTGAAAATGGGAGATGGGACTGATGTTGTGGTTAGGTCAGAAGGGGAAGAGAAGAAGAAGCTTGCCGATGATAGAATTAGCGATGAGCAAGTAGAGAAGAAGAATGAGTTTGTGCGATCTGATAAGGCTAAAGATAACGAAGATGAGATCTTTGAGGAAGCAATTGGTTCAGAGAATGATGATGAAAAGGAGGAAGGTTCAAAACGTGAACTGTCAGGACCGGATGGGTTGCAAGAGGGTTCAATTGTAGAGGCAGCTCCAGAAAGTTCCAAGGACGAGATTGAAGTGGAGGATTTTGAAGAGGCAACGGGTGATCTTGATGAAACAAGTAGCAATGAAGGGGGAGTAAAAGATTCCAAAGTTGATTATCCGGTTAACGTTCAACGAGAGGCTGAACCTGATTTTGTGACTCCTAAAATGAATGGTGATGAGGAGGAAGCAGGTGCAGAAAATTCCAATGTTGTTGAGAACTCTGAGAAGGCGGCTGATTCCAATGGTTCGAATTTAGTGGCTGAAGATGTGAATATGGAAAACGGAAATACACATTCTTTATCTGAAAATGGAATCGTCTCTCATGAGAATGAAGAACTGGTGGCTGATGGTATCTCAAAAAGTGTTGCGCCTGAGGAAATGTGGAATGATGGCATTGAAGTCGAAAATTGGGAGGAAAGAGCTGATGCTTCACCTGGCATACGAACAGAACCACAAGTTGAGGGAAGTGGAGTAACACACGAGAATCGCCCTGAGGCAAACGGAAATGGTGAGACTAGTGCCGATTACACAAGTAATACTGTTGAAAATGCCTCTGGTGAAAAATCCTTGAATGGTGGTATTGGAGTTGCAAGTGCTGTGACCTCATCTCCATCTGAGAAATCTAGTTCTGATGAAAAGCCAGAGATTGAAAGTGACAGTAGTTGTTTGAAACCAGAGCATCACGTAGCTTCTTCACTGAACTCAAATTTGGAGTCGTCTACTGAAGTTCGCAGCAATAGTGGCTTCCCGGGAGTTACTAGTAAAGAACACGAGACAGTTCAAACTGCTAACGGAGGACATGGTGTTCAACAAAGTCCTCAACCTAACAAGGAACTTGAAAATCAGCAAAGCAGCAGAGTAAATATAGATCCAGAGATTAAGGAAACATCACATGTGGAAAGAGAGTCTGAAGTAGTAAATTCTGTTTCACCGACGGAATCTAGAAGTAATCCTGCAGCATTGCCACCTGCTCGACCAGCAGGTCTTGGTCGTGCTGCTCCTCTTTTGCAACCTGCACCACGTGCTCCTCAACAGTCTCGAGTCAATGGAAATGTGTCTCACAGTCAGCCTCAGCAAGCTGAGGACTCTACCACTGCAGAGACCGATGAGCATGATGAGACCCGTGAGAAGCTCCAGTTGATCAGGGTCAAATTTTTGAGGCTTGCACATAGACTAGGGCAAACTCCACATAATGTTGTAGTTGCTCAGGTTTTATATAGGCTTGGATTGGCTGAACAGTTGAGAGGTAGAAATGGAAGCCGTGTTGGTGCTTTTAGTTTTGATCGTGCTAGTGCCATGGCAGAACAGCTTGAGGCAGCTGGACAGGATCCACTTGATTTTTCTTGTACGATTATGGTGCTCGGTAAAAGTGGGGTTGGTAAAAGTGCAACGATCAATTCCATATTTGATGAAGTGAAATTTTGTACTGATGCATTCCAGATGGGAACAAAGAGGGTTCAAGATGTTGAGGGTTTTGTTCAGGGAATTAAGGTACGGGTGATTGACACTCCCGGTCTCTTACCGTCCTGGTCTGATCAATCCAAGAATGAGAAGATCCTGAACTCTGTTAAGGCGTTCATCAAGAAAAATCCACCGGACATTGTACTATATCTTGATAGGTTGGATATGCAAAGCAGAGATTCTGGTGACATGCCTCTCTTGCGCACCATCAGTGACGTTTTTGGACCATCGATATGGTTTAATGCCATTGTGGGTTTGACTCATGCCGCTTCTGTTCCACCAGACGGCCCAAATGGCACTGCTTCGAGCTATGACATGTTTGTAACACAACGTTCTCATGTCATCCAGCAGGCTATTCGCCAAGCAGCTGAAGATATGAGGCTCATGAACCCTATTTCTTTAGTTGAGAATCACTCTGCTTGCAGGACTAATCGGGCAGGCCAGAGAGTATTACCGAACGGCCAAGTATGGAAGCCTCATTTGCTGTTACTCTCATTTGCATCAAAGATTCTAGCAGAAGCAAATGCTCTTCTGAAATTACAAGATAATATTCCAGGGAGACCATTTGCAGCTCGGACTAAGGCTCCGCCATTACCGTTTCTCCTATCTTCGCTTCTGCAATCAAGACCACAGCCTAAGCTTCCTGAACAGCAGTATGGTGATGAAGAAGATGAAGATGATTTGGATGAATCATCAGATTCTGACGAAGAATCAGAGTATGATCAGCTTCCACCCTTTAAGCATTTGACTAAAGATCAAATGGCGAAGCTTAGTAAATCTCAGAAGAAGCAATATCTTGATGAGATGGAGTACCGTGAGAAACTATTGATGAAGAAGCAAATGAAAGAGGAAAGAAAGAGACGTAAGATGTTTAAGAAGTTTGCTGCCGAGATCAAAGATTTGCCGAACGAGCCTCCTAGTGACAATGTGGAAGAGGAGAGTGGTGGACCTGCATCAGTTCCAGTTCCCATGCCAGATTTATCTCTACCTGCGTCTTTTGACTCTGACAACCCTACTCACCGCTACCGCTACCTTGATTCATCGAATCAATGGCTTGTTAGGCCGGTCTTGGAAACTCATGGCTGGGATCATGACATTGGTTATGAAGGTGTGAATGCGGAGACACTCTTTGTTGTTAATAAACAAATACCAGTATCTTTGTCAGGCCAAGTGACAAAGGACAAGAAGGATGCAAATGTGCAGCTGGAAATGGCCAGCTCGGTTAAACATGGAGAAGGTAGATCAACTTCACTAGGTTTTGACATGCAAACCGTTGGAAAGGAATTGGCTTACACTGTTCGAGGTGAAACGAGATTCAACAATTTCAGGAGAAACAAAGCTGCAGCGGGTCTGTCTCTAACGCTCTTGGGTGATTCTGTATCTGCTGGGTTAAAAGTCGAAGATAAGTTGATTGCTAATAAATGGTTCAGAATGGTTATGTCTGGTGGAGCAATGACTTCTCGAGGAGATGTTGCTTATGGTGGCAGTTTAGAAGCTCAGCTGAGAGATAAAGATTATCCACTTGGTCGGTTTTTGACCACTCTTGGACTTTCGGTTATGGATTGGCACGGTGATCTTGCTATAGGAGGGAATATACAGTCTCAGATTCCCATTGGTCGTTCCTCTAATTTAGTCGCTCGTGCTAATCTGAACAATAGAGGCGCAGGGCAAGTAAGTGTCCGTGTAAACAGCTCAGACCAGCTCCAACTTGCAATGGTTGCAATTGTTCCTCTCTTCAAGAAGCTACTTAGTTATTATTCCCAGCAGACGCAATATGGACAATGATGAAAAACTCATTTAGGCTGATTTTCACTTCCATTCCTTTGTTGCAATGGAGTATTAGGAAATGATAGTCACAAGAACATCCTAGGATCACTTGAAAAGGTACGAACCCCAATATATCTCCGATTTCTATATTTTCATTTGTTGCAAAGCCCTATTGATGGATGCTGATGTTGATGTGCTTTATGGTTTTGAACAGGAGAGCTATGTCTGCTCTTGGATTGAAAAAGAAAAAGACCAAATTGTTGGAGGAAAAGCATGTGTCACGAAATAGCAGAAGAACATAACACGCTCCTTGTCTGATATATAAGTTCAGTGGTTATTTTCTTCTATTTCTAAAAACCTTTGTGATCTCTGTTATGAAATAAAGATTTTCTAGTTTTGTTCATGTACCTCTCCTGGATTAAGTCATTCAAATATATTCACTTTACGTCTCACATCATTAATTGTTGCATATATTACTGGTCCATAACTTCTCCAATGAATCCAAGTATAGACTTTCATGGTAGGTGTTACAAAAAGACCCAAGAACAATGAGAAAAGAAGAAAGTGTAGGGTATATAAATAGTAAAGACACACCCAATCACTTGCAAACTGTGAATCTGCAGGTCCCGGAATTAGCCTTGATGAATCGAATAGCGGTCATGAGAACATCGTGCTGCGAGTTTGCGAGGAGTGCCAAGTTTGTATTTGTGATCACAGAGATGGAATTATAAGGAAAGCCAAGAGAGTTGTATGAATTGAGTAATGCAGTTGTTGCCTCCCTTAAGAGAGTCTTATATGCTTCTCCTCGACCGTCAAGGGCTTCACGTATTGTCATATCTGTCCCGTATCTCCTCCCTGCTACTAGCCCGAATGCAACCGCAACTTTTGTATCAGGCCCTATCGCCCTCCAATAGCATCTATACTCAGGTTTTCTCCACAACCTATGTAAGTCACAAAGCCAAAATGTTGTGAAATTAATGAAACCAAACTTATTGTGCTAATGAATGAATCAGAGAGTGAGCTCACTGGTGAGAACAAGCTGATGGCTCTACAAATGGAATTGGAGGGAGTGGAGGCAATGGTGGAAGCTTAAACTGAGGAGGCGGTGTAGCTTGAGGAGGAGGCATAACCGGGGCCTGAGGAGGAGCCAAGACCGGGACTTGAGGCATTGGAGGCAAAGGTGGAAGCTTATACTGAGGAGGTGGTGTAGCTTGAGGAGGAGGCAAGACCGGGGCCTGAGGAGGATGCAAGACCGGAGCCTGAGGAGGAGGAAAGACTGGGGCCTGAGGAGGAGGAAAGACCGGGGCCTGAGGAGGAGGCATAACCGGGGCCTGAGGAGGAGGCATAACCGGAGATGGTGGTGGTTTAGGACAAGAAGACATTGGCTGAAATGGCTGAGCAAGAAGTGCATCTGCAGCGAACATTTCAATCCCAAAAAAACTAAACATTAGTTTAAGTTTCTGTGCAGGGCCTGAAGCAATGTTGCAGCTACTTGAGCTTTGCTGTTGAGCCCCATTATCTGAAACCTGAGCATAACAGTTGCTCAGATCCGGTGTCCCATCAAATCTCATTACATATCCTCCAAGCCAATTAGTGGTCTCTTCTCTTGACATAGAGAGTTGTCCATTTTCATCAGGACATGTCACACTAACCGTAACTCCTGCAAGAAACATTAATATCACAAACACACATCTTAAGGAACAAGAAGAGATACAAGCCAAAAACAAAGTGTGAAAAATGTTATTATTAATTACCGGAGACAGGAAAATCGAACAAAGATCTTTCTCCATCCTTGCATTGGTCACAAAACACCGTGCCAGTGACCGTGGCATATCCGGTAACTCCATTTACGGCTAAGCAAAGAACAAGAAATGCGACAAAGAGGAGATTATGATTTGGATCCATTGATTTTTTCAGAACTATGTAATAAAGAAGAAGAAGAGAAATGAGTAGTTATGGTAGTCTTAAAAGCTAGAAGATAAAAAAAGAGTAAATAAAAAGGAAATCATCACTTCCTTCTCCAACCTTCAACTGCTAAAATATTAATTGATGTTGTTGACAAATATCAAAAAACAAAAAAAAAAAACTAATTGTTTGTGGTCTGAACATGAGAGTTATTCGTACGAGTCAAGAAAATTTAATGTTTTTACCTCCAAACTTTGTAAAGGTTTCTTGATTATCTCCATAACCTTTTGTGCTGCGCAATAAATTTTTTCTTCTTTAAATTTTTGTTTTTTAAATGGGTTTTGTTTGGGTTATAGTTACTGGTTTCGAAGGTATTGGTTCTATGCAATCAATACTATCAAGACTTTGTATGAATATGGTTGTGTCAAGCTGTAACAAATGTGAACACAGTTCCACACACAACACGTGAAGTGTGAATAAAAAAAAAGAGAAAAATTTACACGGCGTGTGCCAGTTCTTGACCAGTACCCGCACGAATATTATCGAACCACTGTTCTTGAAATGTCATGATGTTCGAATATTTTTGTTGATATAATAAAAAGAGATCTTGTAGTGTAGGAAAGTCATGCAATTTGAATCTGTAATGCGGAATTTGGTTATGTTTCATGTCGATATGTTCTTTATTCCACATTAATGCTTCTTCCATGATGGTAATTAAACAAGTATTGGCCAGAAAAAACAAATTTAGGGGATGTTATTCAGTCATAAACTTAAAATGAATTTTTTAAGTTTTATAATCTTCATGATTTAAAAGTTGATATCAGTTTTATGGATTCATTTGTTTAGATTCTAAAATCTCTGCAATATACATTAGATTTTGATTCTAATAATTTATTGGAATTGATTTGAAATGACTTCACAAATATTTTAAAAGTTATTTAGTTTTGAATAACACTGGATTTTAATGAAACATTTGAAATCTTTATTGAATAACACCAAACTTTAAAATCTCTTAAACATAATTTACAATCAAAATATCTAATAACACTGAATTTTAAAACATCATTTGGAATTTTTAGCTGAATAACAATGGATTGTGTTGGATTTAAATTCTACTAAAAATCATGATTGAACCCTCTTAGACAAGTTTTGGTGTTAAAAGTTAATTAGGTCTAGAATTTTTTGATCACTAGTAAGTGAATGTTCAATTCGGATAAACCGGTCTAAACCGAACCAAAATAATTGATTTTAAAAACCAAACTAAATTATGGATCATTTTTTCTTCTTCTATATTCCAAAAAAAATCAAATCCAAAATCAAATAGACAAAAGTAAAAAGTCATTTAAAACCTTTCTTTATATGAAAATTAAGGATATAGTCAACTAAAACTCGAATTCGAACCAAAACCGTATTCAACCATTCATATTAGATTAAACTTTATTTGAGTTTAACTAGAAAACTTATATCAAACTGTAACTAGAAAACACTCCGAAGAATATAGAATTTGATTGGTAACATGTTACCGTAGCACTAACGGGTAATGTACTGCTTTTAAAGTTACTTAGAGGGTGCTTGGTATAGATAGTGGAGACTGTAAAATCCATTTTATAGTTTTAAAAGATTTTTTTTTGCCAATCAAATTTTTAATTTTTTAAACTTAAATTCCTAAAAATTAGGTTTTTTATTTTTAGTCATAGCAGCTTTTACACTTAAAACTAATAAGAATAAATATATTTAATTTCTTTTTTTATTTCTTCTTTCCCCATAATCATTCAAAAGATTTTATATATTTATATATAAATAATTACGAACTAAATTTAATTGATTAAATCTTATCTTTTTCAGTTTTTGTTTAGATCCATTTTTTCTAAAAAAAAATTTAATTTTTAATTTTTTGTATTGATTACTTATGCTAATATAAGTATTTTAATAATTTATTAATGTTATCTACAAATTTTAAATCTGGGATAAATTTATATGTTTGACTAATAAAAAATTATTTCTAATTTAAAACATAACAGTTAACTTTTACAGTTTGTATAGTAAAAATTTTAAAATCAAAAATCTACCATAAAAACTAAAAGTAAAAGTGATACCAAGTCCTACAAATCACAAAAACGGTAGTAACTAGCGATACCAAAAACGGTATTTTCAGGTTTATATGTAACTGCTTTCTACTACTACTATTTCTTTATCTTGTTAAACTATTTACAACTTACCATTTCATCTAAAGGTTCAAAAAAAAAAAAAAATTTACCATTTCATCTACCCGCTAAAAGCTTGTACGGTTTCGTGTTACTAATCGTACCTATATAAGCAAATGTTGCAATCGTATGTCGTAGTAGAACAAGGAAATAATATGGGCTTCAAAACATTATAATGGGTCGTCACTAAAAACAAATTTTGGGCTGTACTTTCACTTTCTTGTGTGCAAAACATGACCACGTAGAAAATTAATTTGATAGGAAATCAACAAGCATTTGCGTATCCCAGTATACGTGGCTCTATGATATCTGCAAGTCCGATAGGCGATAAGTTACATCCATTTTCATTTTCCTGTTCAGAATAATCATAGATTTTGATGATTGATACAGATAAATTTGTCGTTTAGTCCAATTCCAGTACAGTCTACGGATGATGAGCGGGACTCATGTGCGCATTGATAAAATATATTCATAAAACGGAACAACATGGACCTATATCTTTTTTATAAGTAGCTTTGTCTTCTTTACCATGAAAGTTAACACGTTACCGACACAAACATCTGAACATCAACGAAGATTCATAACGATTTCTCTAAGCAAATAAAGCTGGTCTGAAATCATCAAAACTTTATATTTTCACATGTGAATTAATTGTATGATTAAGAATTGGAAACTTTGAATTTGGAATATAAAAAAGTTGCATCTCCTTATTAAGGAAGCAGAAGAAGCTCAGAATTTTCCATAGTGATACCTTTATAACTTTTACTACCTATTCGCTTTGGTATGTTTACAACCACGTGTGTGCGTAGTGCTTTAAGAATAGAATTAAAAGTGAATCCGAATAGTTTATTAGGTCTATTGAGTATTGTTAAATCGATCTCGTAAGTTTCCTCCAAATTTATTGATTAGCCAATACACATATTTATACAAAATCCTAACTTGTTTAGCAAGTTCTTTACATATATGAGAATAGAAAATCTACTTATTTAGCAATATACATAAATATTAACTATCCATTTAAATCGATCTCGTAAGCTCCGAGATCTCCTAACAATTATCATATTATGCATAGATCACGTCTTATTTGATCAATTTTGATAATTAAACTCTAGAAGATTTTCGAAATCAATATTTTTGCATTTAGCTTTTGATAAAGAGAACATCTAGTAATGAAATATAAGAAAACCTCCAATTTTTAACCCAAAAAGCCTTCAATTATTTATCTTGATATAATTTTTAGAACCGACCAAGTTGACTTGACTCTATTGCTTTATTGTCTATGCATGCATTGCTTAATTGTCACTATGCATGCATTGCTTTATATTGTCTATAAATAAGACCGTGACACGCTAATCAAAACTAATCCACACACCAAACACAAACAAGTCCAATTAATCCAAATCCAAGACAGGTATTTAAGAAAGAAAAAAAAAAAAAAACAGATTCTTGTTCTTGATGATGATGGGAGATACGATGAGAACAATTGGTTCGAGCATGGCAAGTTTGTTCTTCTTTTGGGCAACTTTTCAACAGATCTTCCCTGATCACCTCAAGATCGCAATCAAAGAGTTTCTTTTGTCTACAATCCAGCAACTCTCTATTGTCCAAAGATTCTCCGACCGGATTATCAACTTCTTCTCTCCTTACATTGTAATCAATTTCCCAGAGTACGAAGAGTACCGTTTTAATCACGCTTTCGCAGCCATCGAGACTTACCTTGGGGCCAAAGCAACCGATAAAGCACAAAAGCTTAGGGCAAGTCAGGTTAAAGAGAGCAAAGGACTAGTCTTGAAACGTGACGAGACTAAAGTTAGAGATGTATACGAAGGACTTAACGTCTGGTGGGAGCTTGTGACTGGTACTGATGGAGACAGAACTCATAGACTCACTTTCCATAGACGTGGATTGGAGATTGTAACAGGATCATACATTAAGTATGTGGTTGAAGAAGGTAAATCGATCGAGGCAAGGAACAAGAAGATGAAGCTGTACACGAATAACCCTAGTTCAGATTGGGGCTCTAGCAAGAAGAGCATGTGGAGGCACATTGATTTTAAGCACCCGGCGAGTTTTCAGACATTGGCTATGGAATCTAAGAAGAAAGAAGAAATCTTGAATGATCTCGAGGCGTTTAGCAATGGGAAAGAGTATTACAAGAAGATTGGGAAAGCTTGGAAAAGGGGTTACCTATTGCATGGACCACCAGGGACAGGTAAATCAACGATGATTGCAGCTATGGCGAATCATTTGAACTATAGTATCTATGATCTTGAACTCACGGCTATACAGAACAACTCGGAGTTGAGGAAACTCTTGACCGCGACATCGAGCAAGTCGATTATTGTGATTGGAGACATCGATTGTTCTGTAGACCTAACGGGCAAGAGAAGCAAGAGAGACAGTGACTTGTTCAGCAAGAACGATGGAGAAAAGGGCAAAGAAGAACAAAACCAGAGTAGTAGAGTCACACTCTCTGGTCTTTTGAATTTTATAGATGGGATATGGTCGGCTTGTGGACAAGAGAGGATCATCGTTTTCACTACGAATCATATGGAGAAGTTAGACCCGGCTTTGATCAGGAGAGGAAGAATGGATATGCACATTGAGTTGTCTTATTGTAGTTTCGAAGGGTTTAAGGTTCTTGCCAAGAACTACTTGGATCTTGATTCACATCCTCTGTTCGTCAAAATCGAGTCTTTCCTTAAGGAAATAAACGTTTCTCCGGCCGACGTGGCGGAGGAATTAATGGCCAAGAATCATAAGATAGACGTCGACGGATCCTTGAAAGACTTGGTACAGAGTTTGGAGAGGAGAAAGAAGAACCAGAGAGGTAACAGTCATGATCAAAAGAAGAAATATAGTGACAGGAAACTCGGAATATTCAATTGGGCCTCAAAACAATTAATGGGCCGTCATTAGGAAATTCATATTTGGGCTTTTAAATTCATCTTCGTTTGACCAAATTTGGTAAGAAAATATCTCTGAGTCTACTTGTATCTTCTTCTTCCACACATTTTTTTTTTTTAATTTCTATGAAGTTTGACGAGTCTACGAAGAAGATATTAATAAGTTGATAGTGATGTTCAAATTTGTATTGTAGCGATGATAACGAAGATTTGATAATTATCATTATTATTCAATGGTAGCGACTCTAAACTCGAAAAAGGAATCAAACGATCCCAAAAAAAAAAGCAGAAACACAAGAACGAAAAAGAAGAACAAAAATTAAAAACAACACAAAGCTACCATTGGATCAATCTCTCTCTTTCTCATCATCAGATCTAAGAAATCTGACCACAATCAGCAACCACAACAGGCTTGGAGGTCTTTCCAGAGTCAGATCCAACCTTCTCAATGGCCCTAACAACATCCATACCTTCAATGACTTGACCAAACACGACATGCTTACCGTCGAGCCACGACGTCTTCTCGGTACAGATGAAAAACTGAGATCCATTGGTGTTGGCACCAGCGTTAGCCATGGAGAGAATACCTGGACCGGTGTGCTTCTTGGTGAAGTTCTCGTCCTTGAATTTCATGCCGTAGATCGACTCGCCTCCGGTTCCGTTTCCTTTGGTGAAATCTCCTCCCTGACACATGAATTTGGGGATCACACGGTGGAAAGCTGATCCCTTGTAGTGGAGTGGCTTCCCAGATTTTCCCATTCCTTTCTCGCCGGTGCAGAGAGCTCTGAAATTCTCCGCCGTCTCTGGGGTTGTGTCGGCGTAAAGCTCCATCACGATTCGGCCGGCCGGTGATCCGCCGACGGTCATGTCGAAGAAAACTTTAGGGTTTGCCGCCATCTTTTTGGATCGGAGATTTTTTTTTTGGATCGGAGAAAAATTTGTGTGAGTGTGTGTGAGAGAGAGATTAGGGTTTTGGTTACGATTGATATATAGAGAGAGGATCTAGTTCCAAGGGAAAGGAATATTTGAACGGAAATATTTTAGTGACCGTTGATTTTGTACACGTGTTGTGATCTGGAAGAGTTTAGGTTAACTGTGGTTAAGTTGAAATCTGACTAGGGTTAATAGTTGCGTGGATCCGAGGCAGAGAATATTTTGTTTCTACTTTTTACTGGATAGAGCTAGAAGCATGAATAGCGGCATCATAAGCTTAAAACGACATCGTTCATAAATTAAGGCCTGGAAACATTAAGGCCCAATGTTAAAGTAAAAAGCCCAATTTGTTTTTATCAAAAATCAGAAGCAACGACAGCTAAATGGAAAGTAGAAAGTGGGGTGGTTTTAAATCTACTACAAAGTCTACAAGCCTCCAAGGTAGTAAGAGAAATGCAAAATGAAAAAACAACCTTCAAATTTCAAACTTGCATCGTTAATCAAATGATTATTCTATTTTTCTTTTCAAGTTCATGAATTTTGGAACTTATTGTTGAGACAATTCTTTTTATAAGTAGAACTGTAGAAGAAAACAAGCAGTCACTGACCCAAAAAAAAAAAGAAGAAAAAAACAAGCAGTCAAGATTCTCTGTGAAGTTACAAGTTACAAAGGAAGAAGGATCTCTACCAAAAACTCTCTCTCTATGTGTAACGTTAGTAGCGTTCGTGTGCTCTTGGTTTTACAAGTCCCCAAAGATACAGACAAAAGCATGTGAGATTTGCTCTAATCTACTTCTTCTTCTTTGACTTATGACCGTACGAAGTGCCCTGCGTTGTAAATCGAGAGCAATGTATCAATTCCAAAACACTAAACAAATGCAAAAACCCATCATGAAGAACTTATTAGATCTTGTCTATGTAAGTACCTCAAGCCATTCATCAAGCGACGCATCTTTAGTTGCAGTTCCAACTTCAACTTTTGATGCTCTCTTTGTTTTCTGCGCACAGCAAATGACCAGTTAGGCTTATTAATCAAAGTTAGTAACTAGATTAGGGATCGTTTTGCCTAAGAGAAAAGGCCACAACATTAAGGAATGTATATAAAGAGAAATTTTCATGTACCTTGGTCAAATGCTTCATATTATTTTGGATATAGATGATAAGAAGAGTGATAACCAAAAGTAAAAGGCCACAAAGGAAGACTGACTCCATCCTAAAGAGAGGACCGTCTTCAACAACTTCGATGGTTCCATTGTAAAACGTGCTTTGATATGGCTTACCATCTATCTCATAGATGATGGTGCCAACTAGATCAAAAGCACCCGCCTGCACGAGGAATGTTTAGCTCATTTACTTTTTATTAACCATGCACAAGAAAACACTACTCTTTTTGAAGTCGAAAAGACTCATCATGACTAGAAGAACTATATGAATAACAAACATACCTGTAGGAACTTGCTGACTGCAAAAGTGTATGGGAAGGTAGCTTGAGCCGAAGTTGGCACAGATGCGTTGCCAAAGCTCTACACATAGAAGATACGATAACCACATAATTAAGTGGACACATCTTGTATTATTCAGCAAAGGCATTTTAAGTTTCTAAATCTAGAAGTGAAGAAATGGAATAAAGTTACAGCATACGAGCATAGAGAGACAATCAAAGAAAGTAGCTGATTCAAAACATACATGAGCAAAGATTAAAAAGCTATAGAGACCCTTTTCTTGAATTTTCTTGAATTTTGTAACACGGAAGTAACAGGTTTATGGTATAGATTGTGGAGTGACATGAGATGAGACAAATCAGGCAATGAGGAAAGAACCTAACAAAACCAAACTAGACTGATTTGGACAGATTTTAACAAGTGATTCAGAGGCAGCAAATGTGAGAAATGAGAGGCAAGATCATTAAGTTACCAGAGCGGTGAGATTCTGAACCAGAGGCTTCTGATCAAAAGGAAGATGCAAACTTCCTCTAACCGCAACGATATCAACATTGGATTGACCTATTCATATGATCCAACCAACAAATTTATAAACTTTTAACTAAAACTTCAAGTAATCGATTTCAACGTTTGATGAGAATCAATTTCATTATTACCATCATTTTTCATTCCAACAAGCAGCTCAGTTTCATGTCCAGCTTTGATTACTGCAGATATCAAACGGACCAAGAGATTAGCACCCAAAATTGGGATATGGGAAGAACAAGAACACTAAATTATTAGAAATTAGAATCAGAAACAGGAAAAACTCTCTACTTTTTGCACTGTTTTTGGGAAAAACGCAAAGGGTTTCAATCCCAGGAGCTGAGGTAAGCTCCAAGCCAAACACTTCCTCTGCATCACTCTCTTCTTCTCCAGAATCGGAAACTTCAAACCCAGAATCTTCCGAATTCGACTGGCACAAAGCAGCTAGAGCAAAAAAACCATAAAGCAAAAATCAAAATAGAATCAGCGATAATCAGTAGATCTATGTTCGATAATAGAGGATCAGATAAAGGTGTTTAAACCTTGGTAGAAAGGTGAAGCAAGAAGAAGAAAAGCGAGGAGGAGGAGTCTAATAACACTCGTCGACTTCATATTGGGTTTTTGAGAATTAGTTCGAGTTTGATCGTCGTGCTCTGAAAGTAAAGATGGCGAAGAAAGCAAGAAGACAAGAAAGGAGTTTCGGTCTTTGACGTTCTTTATGCTTCTTCACAGGCGTTGACGGTGGCGTAGAATAACAACACATGGTCCTGTTAAAAGTAATCATGAAACGACAACGTGAAGTTTTATGCTTAAAAGTTTGGAGACCCATTTTAAGAAGGTGGCCGATAATAATGTCTTAGCTCGTCGTTGCATATTGTAGTGGGCGAACAACGTTTTAAGCATTAAGTTTGTTAATGGTTAAACATTTTAAGCATTAAGTTTTTAAGGCCCTGTTCGTTTGAGCAGTTGATATTTGCAGACTAATCCATCCAAATGATATTCAGTCATGTTCGTTTAAGCAGTTGATATTTGCAATCAAATAATTTATCTGGATGATTCATCTGATTGATCTATCTAAATGATGTTCGGTCCTGTTCGTTTAAGCAGTTGATATTTGCAATCAGATGATTCATCTGGATGATTCATCTGATTGATCCATTCGAATGATATTTCTTTCATTAATAAAATTTAATGATTTATTCAACTGATTCATTTGACTGATCTATCTGGACGAATTTTTGTTTGTTTGATCATTTCATATCTCCATCTAAATAAAAAAATAACTAAAATACCCATATTTTCATCTAATTATATTTTCAGTGTAATATTAACTATGTTATTATTAATTCTTAATATAAATAATGTTTTACAACCAAATAATTTTCAGATGACTATTTTAAACATTTTTCTAAAAAAAATATTTAGAAAATAAAAGTTTTGTTTATAAAAATATTTATAACAATTGATTAAAAAATAATTAATTTAGTGATTGATTCATACCCAATAAAGACATTTAAAACATATATTTTCTCATTGGTGAAGCAAACTACAATATCTTCTTCTTAAATTATAATTTTATCATACAAAATCATTATCAAATTGAAAAAACATATCATATTATGTTTAGAAAGGTACAAAACAAAGTTTTTTTAGAAAAACATAATCCTTAAACCACCAATTCTCCCTTCTATTCACCAGAACTTACAAATAAAAACAAAGAATTTTTTTTATTAGAAGGAGAATTCAAATAGAACACAAAAGAAAGACAAAGATCATAACTGATAACTGAAAAAAAATATAACAAGATAAGATAACTCATTCACATTCACTCATTCACAAATAAAAATCATAACTGATAACTGAAAAAAATATAACAAGATAAGGTAATTCATTCTCATACACTCAAAAATAAACCTGTTTCTCATACACAAAATAAAAATAAGATAATAGAGTTCAAAAGAAACATAGACATGAAAAAACATGAATCATCCTCGTGCATTCCAAGAGTTCAAAAGAAACATAGACATGAAAAAACATGAATCATCCTCATGCATTCCTGTTTTCAAAAGAACAATTGAAAGACACTAGATACTAGAGTTCGAAACATAGTTCATAATAAGCATAAATCATCCTCATGCATCCCTGTTTATACCAGTTACAAATTCCAAGTACATAACTTTGTTCTCATCATCTTCATAAAAAAAGGAAAAACAATAAACTTTTTTTTTATGATACAAGCACGAAGAGGAAGCAGAATCCAATCAAGCATAAAAAGCTATTTTTTTAATGACAAGACTACAAATCTGTCTTAGTAATATCAATTGCACAACCAAAACAGAACAAGTGGCATTGATAATCCAATATCTCAATATCATCGATATTGTACAAAAATCAATCTCTAACGAATCAGGGTCCGAATGGTGACAGCGTTTTTGGCTATGTGAAAAAACGGTTTAAGAGTGTGGTACGGTTCAACTGCGGTACATGCGGGAAAATATATTTGCGGGACAACTGCGATTTGTATATAATAAGCGGTATGAAATAATGTTTGATTGGTAAAAATACAGTTTACGGTCCATATTAAAATGTTTGAATGGTGAACAAGATAACAAGCGGTACACATTATAAATTATAAATCATAAATATATATAAATAATTAATATTATTGTCATTAAATTATTTATTTCGTATTGATAAAGAAATATTTTCAATACATTTATAAACTTTCAATTATAAATTTATTTTAAAATAACATTTTTTTTTTACATATATATTACATATATTACTTATAAATGAATGTAAAATATATTTGAAAAAACTTGTCATTAAAAGTATGAAAAAATATATTTTAACCAAATTAATATTAAAAGTATAAAAAATTATTTATTTTAAATTTTATAAACTAATTCTTACATAAAAACTTACTTAATTTTTTAAAAAGGGAAGAAATAATGTTCTACTTCTTTTATGTGTTCTACAATGTATTAGATATATCTTATTTATATGTATTGTATTTTATTATTAAAAAATAAGTTTTTTTCAAAAAAAAAAGTTATGTGCGTTTTTATCCGCCCGCTGAGTAATAACCGTTGGATAATTTTGAGTGCGTTTCATTATTTGCTGACATTTTTTAACTGTTTTGAAATTCGCAAATGAGCTTTTTTTTTTCTTTAAAAAACGCACTTTCCTACAAATTTTGGTTGATTGGTGTTATAATAGCGGTTTTGAAATTACCACTTCAAATACCTTACCGCACTGCCCTAGTCACCATTCACTGCCTCAACATTGAATACGATGAATCAAATACGAATCAAAACATAGATCCTATAAGCACAACGAGAGAATACAAACATATTCATAAAAACAAAAATAAAGAGAGATTCAAACCTGCTATTAGCAAACTGAAGAGAGATTGAAGAAGAGATCGAGAGAGAAGAAAGCTTGAAAAGAAACAAGACTAAAAACTCCTCGGATCTGCGCCAAGTATCAAAACCCAGAAATTAAAACCCAGAAATAACCCATGATTCATATCTCTCAAGAACCATGAGACAAAAACCAGAGATAGACATAGAAGATGCTGCATTTGGATCAAATTCTAAGGCTCAAGAAAGCAGAGCAAGACTCTAATCACGAATTAGATATGAAAATCTGTGGATCCATGCTTGCTACATCATGTTTACTAAGACACATACGTAAGACACATATGGGAAAACCAATCAGGAACAAAAAAATATTGAAGACCCTTGAATTATCAAAGATGAACGAATTATCAAAGCTAATGGCAGCAGAAAGATGAACGAATTATCAAAGCTACAAGTGTACATTGAAGACCATTGAGTCACGAGAACAAGAAGAGACAAGAACCTGGATTTTGTAATTGCTCAGCAAACCCGATGCAGGCGAGTTGAAAGTCGCTGAAACGTGTAATGAGGTACTGCATCACCACATAACCAAAAGAAAGGGTCAATGGTTAGCTATAACTTTCTCGCTTAAGAGCCAAACACAATTGCCAAAAGAGCTTTAGAAAGAGAGAAAATGTGTTCAGTTCAAAGAAAAATATCCAAAAGGCACCATTCATCCACAATCACTCATCACAGAAAGGCATGTTAAGAAGACATTATGGTGTTCATATACGTCTTTTTTCTTACTATAACCAGATCATATTCATTGTTATAATGGGACCCAAGACCTAAAACAAACTTCGTTAACCATCAGCCATAACACTGATTTGATCCGTTCAAGTCTATGTACTTTTTACCAATCCCTAACATGACTTTACTGTCATCTCAAACAACAAAAGCCACTTCTCACATCAATCAAGATTCAAAAACCAACCTAGATCAAAGACACTCATGTTGGTAAAGAACAGTTTTAGTACAACTAGCCCGACCAGATGGTAACCAAACCCGAAAGTCTTAGACTCATATATTACTACCATTGTTGGAAGGAGAAAGAAAGCTTAAATCTTCACCACAAAGACCGCATTTTCGACAAGACATCAAACCGGTTAATTGAATGTTCCATCTAGCTTAGTGACCGTGTCAATGATACTTAAAGATCCAAAGATCACAACATAAACAATCTAAACTACTCTTCAAATTCACTATCAGATTCTAAGTCAATATCAGAAACCATATAAAGAGAGAATCAAAAAACAACAAGAAGTGAGCAGAACAAGCAGCAAACATAGATTATCCTCTGTGACACAGCAAACAAAGCTAACAGCAAAGTTATCACTAACTAGCAAATCACAAACGAAGCTAATCTCAATGATGTTCTAAGCTGTTTGGTAGTTTAGAGAAGAAAACTTGGAATTCTAAACCAAACCTAGAAAGATATTACCTCAGCAGAGAGAGAAAACTGTAAAACCTCACACAAAGAGACTTATAGAATGTAGCACACAAATGTTCTATGAACTATACTCTTTATTAGAAATCACTTAAACAATCTTTACAGACTTGTTTAATCTGAATTACACGACAAAGCACATTGCTTCTCGATACTGACCAATTCCTAATCTACCCAAGTAGTCTCTAACACACTTGTGTTACACTTTGAATTCACTCACCAAGAACCCTAGATTTTTCTCTCAAAGCTTGTAGTGAATATTTTTCTCATGAACGGCCGACCTTTTCGTGCGGCCTTCACTCCAATATATATCACATCTCATAAAGAGCATGTGAATATACACTTTCCAGGATGTTAAGATCTTCAAGATCTTTCACACCAACCTCCAAAGATACTCCTTGATATACACGGGACTTTCCTTCAGAATTCCCACCAATAGTTGCCACGTCATTCTTCTTCAAATAATCCAGCTCAGCACTCCCATATTCCCTGTACTCTTGACTTTCTTCACGTCTCTCTGTGTAACACACGACCTTTCTTGTGATGATAGTTAAGCTCCATTTTCTTGAATTTACATTCTCCCCTTTTTGTCCGAATATGAGAACTCAAGCTTTCTATAACAACTAAAGCTTTGACAGATAGCCCAAACAAATATCCAGAAAAGTAGACAGAACAGTGTAAGCCATCTCATTCAAATTGCAACACTCATTTCATGTTTTACACACGAAGGAAACAAAACAGAAAGACCGATAATGAGTAGTCTGAGTCAACCCGACACAAAAAGCCAAAAAAAAAAAAAAAACTGATCACTACAATGTCCTGTCACGGAACCGATATCTTCATTCATCTTCATTCGGTTCCCCCTCAACCTCAGAACCTCCAGGACCATATTCTCCCCCTACTTAAGTGCATATTCAGATAAAAGTACAT